ATTAGTAACTTCAAGGAAATAATAATAAAACAATAATTAAATTAAATTAAATTAAGTAGAGTTGATTTGGGGCCAAACCCTCAAACAGTTCTACCTTTCACGCCTTGGCTTAAGGACAGAACCACGGATAAAGAACGGACTCCTGGGAGTGCTTGAAGAAGATATTTTGAAAGAAGAAGGGTAGGCTAGTGTTTAGGCTAGAGCATAGAAGAAAGAAAAAATAGAGAATTTATTGATGCCCCGTACATCAGAAATGAGGGGGTATTTATAGAAAAAATGTGCTGAGGGAATACTCGGAATCCTAAAATGATAAAAACCCTAAAAAAAGTATATCGCGACACAGCAAAGTGTACCGTGACACGGGAAAACCCACCGTCAGACGGGAAACATTCCCGTGTCACGGTGTCCTTTTGTGTGACGCGGGAAATATATGCTGAACGGGGAAGAAAACGCGTTAAGGGTTTACGCGGAAAGGACACAAAAACCCCCCGTGTCATAGCAGGTGTCCCGTGTCACGGGGAACTCACCGTCAGATGAGACAATTTCCCGTGACACGGTGGACTGTTGCCGTGACGCGGGAGTTTTCAGTCCATTTTTCCGTCTAAATTCATTTTTAACCCTAATTTCGTTCAGCATTTTAAGTGCCGATTGATAATTTCGGGCCATTTCTGATTTATTATTATTTGGGCCAAAATAAGAAAATAAATAAAAATAAATAAAAAAGTTTGGGCCAAAAATAAATAATAAAACAATAAAATAATAAAAAAAAAGGTTTGGGCTAAAATTAAATAATAAAACAGTAAAATTAGTTTAGATTGAAATTAAAACTATGCTTTGACCAAACATTAAGACTGATCCATGGACTATTCAGAAATTGAATTTAATTAAATACGATTTTTTAAGCACTCTCGGGATTAAATACTGAACCCGACCAATAATGGCGGTGCAAGGTTGTTCATCATCGGGTTCGGTTTTGGGGAGACATTTTTAGGTGTCTACAGGAGGCAAGGGGTTTTTCTTTTATTGATGTTTCAAATGGAGCATGTGATGGACAACCTTGTCTATTGCTTAATCCGACAAATAAAATGAAATGATTTAACTACTATTAACTAGTGAAGCCTTAGTAAAACTGACAGTTGAATCGTGTGTTAAGTCTATAGTTCAATGGTGTGTGATGATATTCATATTCAATCTCAATTCAATACTAAGAAATTTCAAAGAGAAAACACTTACCTTACCAAGAATTGGATCGGTATTTTCATTACGCATGTAAATGGAAAATGAAATAATAGGTTGTTCTAGAACGGGTATAGAATCGAGTACGGACACAAAACGGATACACAATACAATCGCTTAGAAAATAAAGGATACGTGTACGACTAATTAAGTATGATATAATACATTATGTAAAAACATATTTCATAAAATCTTCCATACTATTTGGTAATTTTTTCTTTATATGTTGTACATTAGACAAAAAAATTTCATTTAAAACTCATCAAATTTATTAAATTTAAAGCAAACTCTTAAAAAATAATTTTAGAATATAATAAAACTATATATTAATGTACTTAATACCCATAAGGACACGGGTGCGTATTGCGTGTTCTATACAGGTACGATAATCATTAAAAATATCAATGGGTAATGAAGGTACGATAATCATTAAAAGTATCAATGGGTAATGAAATACTAATACTAGGTTGTACTAGAACAGGTATAATATATTCTTTAAATAATTTTTTTTTATAATAGTTACTGTATTATTTGAAATTTTTTACTTTATGTGAAGTAGTGTATATTTTAAGAAGACAAAAAAATCATTCAAAAATTCATAAAATTTATTAAATTTTAAGTATAGTCTAAAAAAATAATTTTAAAATATAATAAAACTATATATCAATGTACTTAGTACACCTAAGGACAAAGGTGTGTATTGCGTGTTCAGTACCGGTACGATAATCATTAGACGTACCAATAGAAAATGAAATAATAGGTTGCGTACAAGGGTTGCCACACATGCATGTTGATTTATGTCCAATGCAAATAATAGGTACAATAAAAATTTTATAATATTTATAGTATTATTTGAAAAGTTACTTTATACGAAAAATATTTTAAGAAGAAAAAAAAACATTCAAAAATTTGTAAATGTCATAAGCATTTTTTTAAAATCAATTTCTAAACTTTTTTAATCAAAATTAAATTAAATTTATGATAGCATATTGTGATAAAATGGATACGCTTTATTGTATTTTCTCCGTCCCCTTTTGATAGTCTTTTATGGGCTTTTTTCACGGGAATTAATAAACACAAATAAGAATAGTAAAAGTACATTGAAAAAGTAATTTGACATTGGATATGTAAAAAAGTAAAGAGAGTAAGTAATAAAAGTGCATGGAAAAAGAAAATTTACATGGAAAATTTAAACTTGCACAAATATTGTTGCAAATTTGTGGTAAAAAAAATTAATATTAGTGGTTGTTGGAAAAAGCAAATGGGGTGGACATTTTGGGACTAAATTTTGCCCGTAAGAGACTATCAAAAGGGGACGGAGGGAGTAATAAATAATAAATTAATATAAAGTATTTTACTATTATGCATTAAGCTAACCTTAATTGATTTTGTGAGATTTGGTACTTAGAATTTTTAAAACGTGCAATTGCACGGGTACTATACTAGTAATATATATACTAAAAGACACATCAACAATAACGCGTGTCGTTTTCTGGTGTCCTGAGGTTTTTATTTTTATTTTTATTTTTATTTTTTTTTTTATATTTGAAAGCTTATTTTGGGTAAAAATTTCTAATCAAGTTAAAAAAGAATTAACTAAAATGAAAATAGCCATAATGGTAGCAAAATAATTATAGCAAGAATTTATGTAGCAAATGAATCATAGCAAAAATGTTTTTTTTTCCCTAAAATATTCTCGACTTTCTATACTAGATTTATGCTAGATTATATTTCATTATTTCTTATTAAAAAAGAATCAATTGACAAAAGAATCAAATACAAAATATTTTTTTTTTAAAAAATAAAATCAAATAATCATAAACTGTATTTCATTCAAGTTTAATTGCACTCAAATATTTCAATTTAAACAAAACATTATGTATATCTTCAATAATTTCTAAGTAAAAATTGCAAGCACTCTTTTAACGGTAATTTAATGACTTAAAATATTGAATATAATATTAAACTAATGATAAATTATGAAGATTACCGTGCAAGGCACGTGATCTAACCTAGTATAGTACTATAGATTAATTTCACATTTCAATTTTAACAAACTAAAACTCATCATCTTAACTTAAGCTTCACATATCATGTTCTAAATTTTTTGTATTTTTTTATGGATGTCATTAACCCTTTTTAAGTTTTATTTTTACTTTTTAATTATTAATATTAACTGTTTAATTACTCTATACTAGAATGTACGTGTGCTACTGTACGTTAGGGAAAAATATATATATATATATATATATATAAGTTTTTTATTTTTATTTTTATTTTTTTTAAGAAGTTATGGATAAGTGTTAATTTAGACTTGTAGCATGCAATTATTTGGAAGTTATTTATTAAACACACACATAAAAATTAAATAGTGATTAATTTGTATTTTTTTTTTGGTTAAAGAAGTTATGGATAAGTGTTAATTTGGAGTTGTAGCATGCAGTTATCTGGAAGTTATTTTATTAAACACACACATAAAAATAAAATAATAATTAAAAAAAAAGTGTATGAGAATTGAAAGTTGGGGTTTTGGAGTGATGTGGTTAAGTATTGCAAAAATGACTCTTAAATTACATAAAAGAATTCCTTAACCTTCCAAATTCACTTCATCTGTGTATTGCACGGGATAAAAGTTAGTCAATTAATTATCATATAATAACTAATATATAAAGCTAAACTTTAGCCAGGATACGAGACATCGACACTTGGCGTCCCAATTTTTCGCCAAGTGTCACGCCACGTAGGTGACAATTAAATATTAAAATTACACGTAGGATTTATTAGAATATATTGTTTATAGAATAGGATAAAAAAAAGTTGGATAGATTCCGTAGAATAAAAAAATTATTTTAGAGTTTTATTTTCAATAAAATTTGGATATATTATCAGGATAAAAATGTTATTTTAGAGTTTTATTTTCAATAAAACTTTTGATTTAGAATTTTATTTTCAATAAAATACCAAAATTCTACATATAATCATTCTCTTAAGTCTTAACATGCAACCGACCTTTTCTTAGATATTCGGAGAAAATGAAAAGAGATCACAACTTTAGCCTTTAGATGACCGTTCTTTTTGTTTGTACATCATTGATAACCATAAACGGACAAGTGATTGTTAATCCATGAGTACAAAAATTCAAATAGCAAATGTATTTTAGATAAAAAAATATTTAAACTTCGATAAACAACCCGGGCATCGCACGGGGCACAAAACTAGTTTATATAATAAAGGTAAGTATGTATATTCTATAATATTATTAAATCCAAGGGAACAACATGATCACGCCATGTGTCACCCTTCCCACAACATGACTAGGCGACACATGTGTGTGAAGTGACATCCTACGTGTCACGTCTTCCCCAATATAAATTGATTCTATCGACACTTATTTAAACTCTATATAACTTTAATTAAAAAATAAAACTCTTCATGTATATAACCTTCAAATTTAATTCCATAACTTTAATCCTCTATAATAATGTTTAATTTTCATCAAAACTCTTCATATGCCTAATCTCCAAATTTAGATTTGACATGCTTATTTTAAATATATATTAATGAAAGATCATATAGATTATTACTCCGTATATATTTCACTCACTTATTAATAACCCGTATTGTTTAACAATAATCCTTTTTATTAATTTTGATTAAATTTAATTATAAATTTACGATGTATCGGGGCATTGGTTCAGATTAATAACAAGTTATAAGTTATTTTTCAGACGTTAATCAGAGATTTGTAAAATACGGAGTACATAATTTGTTAAACTTTATCGACATACGAAGTTAGTATGGTGTACAGCATTGATTTTCCGAGAAAGAAGTTACTGCAAGCAGAGAAACGTAGGCTGATAAACAGTTAGAATTCCTCTCTCGCTCTTTATTTCTTATGCTCCATTCTTTATAATTTGGTGTCTACTTCTACAGACTCATCATACCTTCTGGGGTTTGTCGTTTACTTCGCGGTTCTCTCAATCGGAAATTCCAATGCTCATTTGAACATTTTAGTTTCAATCTTTTCATCCAACACTCAATTATGTTCTCTCATGGAGGTAAAACTCCTTCAAGGTATCATCTCATCGCCCCTAATTTCTCATTTTTTTTTCTTCATTAATTTACTATTATCTGCGATCAATTTGTTAACCTTGTTTATGAAATTCGTATTTTCACAAGTTTTGTGATGTTATTGTTTGATTAGTTGATTGCTGGGGATGAATTTGTCGTATTTTTGTATTTATAAAGAATTTGCTGACATTGAAGTTGTTCCTCATATTGCCGAATTTATTTTTTGTGCTATATAGTTGTTGACAGCATGACATGATAATTGGGCGACTGTAAGAAAGAAAAGTTGCACATGAATTTGTGCTTTTTGATTAGAGACCCGGTTAATTGATCGAACGGGTAGTGGGTTGTTTCATAAAAGGGTGGAGGTTTAAAGGGTCCAAATGGCGTTGATAAATGAGCAAGGAAAAATGAAAATGGAGACAGAAATGAAAGAACAATTGAATAAAAAACTATATTTGTGCTTTTCTTTATCAAAAATATTTATTGATTGGGTTATTATTTGGCTAATTCTGTCCAATAATAGTCATATTCGATAAAAATTCCTATAAAATTGACCGTGACATATAATCAAAGGGTGGACCCGTCCACACTTGCTTCATTGCAACAATGAGTCATCTTATTTAGAGCTTTACTGTGGTATGGAATATTGTTCAGTTAATGGTGCAGGTTTAAGGATTTCTATGTTATGCTTGAGTAAGAAACTAGGGTGCAAGCAATGTAAGTGTTACTAAAGAAAGGGCTCAAAAGAATTTTGAGTGATGTGGGGGTGGGGGTTGTAGAGGTTCTTTATATTGGTTATCACGTCTATCATGAGTTACCGGATGGGATGATGATATTTTCAACAAACTTGTAAATGTTGAAAATAGTAAAAAATTCTTTTGGAACTAAAATGAACACATACGATTAGACAAGCATGCATTTTTGTTGTGAGGAGGTGGCAAACGTCCTCGGTATCAAAGATATTAGGACTCCTGTCTCTTTTCCTGTATTACATGATACAACATCTATATCCGCATCCTCTTTCGGATCATCCTCTCCTCTTGTTGCATCATCCTTTATAAAAGCTGCTGACGAGCAAGTGACATCCTCTCTTGCACCCGCATCATCCTATGTCAAAGCAAGAACTGGAGAGCAAGCTCCACCTTTCACATCCTCTCCTCTTGCAATATTAGCCTATCACCTCTATCATGAGGCTTCCTAAATAGCCTGTCATGTCTATCATGAGTTTTTAGATGGCATGATAATAATTCCCTGGGCGTTCACTGATCAGTTTATCTTGTTTCCACCTCTAAACAATGATATATGCATTTAAACATATCTATACATATTTATTGAAAATTAGAGATGAACCCGATCTCATCCTTTTGGGATTTGGGTTCAGAACTTCACACTAATATTGTTGTTGAGACTCTTGGTTTATTGGCTGATGAAATGGAAATTTCATAGAGTTGACTTTCCTGTAAATTTTTTTTTTCCAGTTGATACATGGCGATGTATTATTTTGTTCGATTTTTTGCTCAAAATTTTGCTAAATTGCATTTAGTAAATTCCTGTTGACAAATTAGTCTTTGAGCCAACTGTTGTCTATATGGCATTGTGAAGATGCTGACTAGCTATATTATATGCTGCGTTGGGTAGTTTTTTTGCCTGCTTCTTATAAATTTTTTCCCTGGTGGACTGTTTGCTTCGAAGGTATGAATTGCTGAGTATGGTAAAGAAGCACTCTAATTTGTTGGGGAAGACTATAGTTGATGAGCAGGATGCATCAGATGTTGAATTGGATCAAGCTTTTTGGCACGATATTCTGAATTTTTATTTCGTTCAAGGAAAGCAATCAAGAGGACGCCAAGATGATGATCTCATTTTTTTTGTTAGGAAAATGGTGCTTAAATATTTGTTTGTCCTTCTACTGCATGGGTATATTTACCAATCAGTCATTTTGAGTAAGATATATATTCTTACACTACTCTTGTATTGTTTTATTGTCATTGCAGAACATCCATGCGCATAATTCTAGTGATGACTTAAATGCCAATTCTCCTTACTTTGTACGCAGGTGGGCATCTAAGGTAAAAGCCAGTCTGATTTAGCATTGATACTAGTATGAGTTTCATAATGGATTTCAATGTTCGTAGATATATCATGAGAAGAAGATGCCATGAAAGTTTTGAAATTGAAGTAATCACTTTTCATGGTTATAACCAGAACATTTGTTTTAGCCTTTGGAGCTAGCTGTTGTTCTTTTGCAAAAGTAAATGATGAAAAATAAAATGAAGGATAGAATATGGGATGTATTAGTTTTCTGTTGTGCTATTCTTTATTTGTTCTGTAATTTATATGTGTTAAATACAGTTTATCTTATTTATACAGTTGGATAGTATGGTTGGTGACAGTTTGATGGAGGTGGATTGGAGGCGATCATTTTATTTGAACCTAATTGCTCACACTTCATTCACAGTAACAGTTGCTATATGCAGGTAGCTTTGCTATCTTTTCCACAATGATTCCTGCTCTTTTGCACTATCATGTATCTCTTTCAAATTTGCTAGTTTTGCTTGGTCCCTCCCCCTCCCTCTCTTCCGTCTTCCTCTACACTAAATAATTTTGAAGTAGAAAAAGAGCCTTTACACATGTTTACATATGCAAAACCCTTGTTCTTGTTTAAGTTTTTACAATGGTGAATTATGATTTGTGTTTGATGTATGTATCTTTACTCAATAGCATGTTGGTTGACCTTTTAAAGCTTTTGCCCTTTTCGTCGAAAAAGATCTGATGTTGCTAGAATATGCTCCTCATAACAATATTCTCCACATTTGATTTAGTAGGTGGTTTTAATACAAGTTAGTCTTGTCATCAAGAATAAGTATGGTAGAAAATTGTAAATTGTTGATTAATATTAATGGTAATTTTTCAATATGTGTATCCAGATGCCTATATGGATTCCTTTGTTTCATGTCACAGTCCTAAGGTCCATATATTCACTTTAAAGATCTTCAATATTGACTACTCTTTTTATTTAGGGTGACTCTATTTGGATCCAAAGAATTTTTCAGACTTATTGTGATTATAATAACCTCTATATGGAATGCTGACATGGAAAAGAATAAGAGTAGTTTGAAACTTTGAAAAATATCTACCAACGTCACGAAAAATACCTAATAAATCCTTTGTGGATTCGCCTATATAAGCTACTGTTAAAGATGCAATCTATGGGTCTGCATACCGATTGTAAATAGTAAAAGATACATGGCAGTTATGAAAGTTCGAAGCCACTAAAGGTATCAAAGAACAAGAATGATAACTACTTATTCATTCCTTAATATATTTCCAAAATGTGGAAAACTAAGTGGTAGAGGTTTTGTGAAATCTTTTACACTAGGTTGTTTAAAGGTTTCTTTGCCTCCAAATTATTCATAGCTCTGTAATTTTTCATTTGAAACTTGTGGGAAGGATGCATGATGCTTACAGAACTCCTTGAGCTGTAAGGATGAAACATTGTATTTTAAGCTCATTTGATCATTCCCTTGATTATTTAATCTGAGACTTATCTATATTAGCAATCAGGTCCTTCAACATCATCGAGTGGGGCAAGATACAAAATTGAGTCCTATATACAAGGTGTGTACTTTTTCATTATGATGGTGGATGATTTTCTAGATAATTATTTTATAAAAACCTTTAACAATCTGGTTATAATCCCGAGCTCAAGAAAACTGGTCCATGTTGCTATGAAATTTGCAGTGTTTTTTAATAATATATTTTTTCAGGTTGTAAAGACTGTTTATGCATCACCAAGCCGGGTCAATTTTCATTTGGATTCGAGGAAGGTGAGTCTAATCCAGTATTAGATCTAGTTTTCAGTATTTCCTGCTGTGTTTCACTATATTATTTGAATTAGTCTATCTTATGTCCAGGAAGCAGAAACATTCCCGGCATATCCTGATATATGCTTTGCCATCGACGACTTTGATTCCACATTTGACACAGTGGTAATTTATCATATGATCTGAAGCTGTTATTATTTTTGTAATGTCAAAGAGCTATAACTATTGAGTGTGTCAACTGTCAATACAATTTCAGTCATCATTGTGACTGCTGATCTACTAACCTATTTTGTTTTAATATTTTTTATTATTTTTTTTAATTTTATTTTACTGCAGGTTTTGTCAGATGCAGATCATTGCTACTGTGTGGTCCTTAATGCACATGCTGGGGCAGCATTTCCTAGTGAAATGCCTGAGAATGAAGTTTCTGACAAGTCACCGAAAACAGAAGATTCTGGAACTAATAATAAAACAAAGGTTTGGTACATTTCATTCTGAGAATACAAAGTGATTGGGTGCCAAAAATAGAATATTGGAAAATTGTTTATGGGAAGTTGGGAACCTTATGGTTAGTAAATTTCTTAATAATAAGCTTAGCGTTTTTAATATGTATCTCATAAATGACCATGGTAAAAGCAAGCTAATGACATAGAAAAGAAGAAATGAATCACTGCTAGATTTGTAACCTTGCTATTTGTTTTTTCTCAAAACACTTTTTTAATAGGGCGGCTAACGTGCGATGCGCATGCCATATCTAGCCATGTTAAGGTTGCTCTTTCGGTTTGGCCTTGGCCTTGTTTGGCAAATGGCTGTTGGTTGGTTCACTTGGCTTGTTTGACTAGCTGGAATGTTTGGCTGTTTATAATGGCTTTTGAAATTGGCTGTTTAAGCTGGCTGTTTATAAAAGTGTTTGGTAAATTAATTGTTGGTTGTTGGCTGTTTATTAGAAAATTTGTGGGCCAACAAGCCAAAAGCCAACAAAAAAGCTACTCAAAGCAGCTTTTTCATTTTGGCTTAAAAGCCAGCTTTTTTGCTGACTAAAAAGTCAATTACCAAGCACATTTTTTCGCTATTTGACCACCTAAAAAAGCCAAAAGCCAAAAGCTAACCAAAAAGCCATTAAAAAGCCAATTACCAAACATGGCCCTTATGTCACAATATTTTTTGTTGGCATCATTAATGAGGGAAATATGCAAAGAAATACTTTTAGGAGTATAAATTTCCGTACACTATTCTTAAAAGTTGAAAAAATAAGATTCAATTAACATTCATGAGGCAAATAAGTAAATAGACATTTTAGTCAGGGCTGTAGATAAGGGTGTGCAAGGTGTACAACCTTACACAGGGCCCCAAAAATAAAAGCCTAACAATTGCAGGACCGTAGCAATGAATTTGGGGGCCCTGTTACAAACTGAAAAAGGGGGCCGTCGTAATGTGAAAATTATGCCTTTTTTTTTTTTTTTTCAATTTATCTATTATACATACTTACCCCAAATACATACTTACAAATTGTCAAATTGCATCAAGAATATAATGTAGCAGTCTTGAAGATCGATTAGTAGTATTGATGAAACCAAACTCAATAGTAGTATTGTTTTAACCCATATTTGGATATTCCCAATATATTAATATATGTAACTGAATGATTTTTTTTTTTTTTTTTTTTTTTTTTTTTGATTCAAATGATCAAATTGATGATTTATATAGGGGGTAGGGGTGAAAGTAATTCGGATTAAAACCGAACCAAATCGAAAGCCAAACCAAATAAGTAATTCGGTTTGGATTTTTTTTTATAATTCGGTTTGGATCGGATTGAAAAAATTATGAATTTCGGTTTTTGGTTTGGATTCGGTTTTGAGAAGCTCGAAACCGAAAAAACCGATCCAAACCGAAATATGCTACATAATGTAAACAAGGCCTAAACCTTAAGCCCATAGCTAAGTCTTCCCTTATAGATTAGAAGCCCTAAATTTCTAAATACCCTTTCTCTTTCATCCGCCTTCTTTCTCCTTCTGCCTTCTTTCAACTTTATATGCCCCCTTTTGCTTTCTCATCTCATCCTTACTCCTGTTTTCTCATCTGTGTTCTTTCTTGTGTCATGTCATCCTCTCTCATGGTTAAATATTCAATCATTTGACCTTCAATCTCTTGTTCTCCTCTGCTTTTCTACAATGTAATTTGATCTATGAATTTGGTTTTTGCACCATAAATGATGTAAATGCAAGCTAGAGGTGAATGAGAATAAGGAATGTCACAAATAGCTCCTGAAATTTCTTGGTTTCATTTATTTTCTTTTACTGTATATTCATATAATTTTAATTAATGTAATTTTTTTTTAATTCTATTATTTTGGGTAACTTGAAAATTGATCTAAAAACTGAAATAGATCTTATTATTTTGTCATTACAATTATAAATTTTGTTTTGAAATATCGCAGATCTAAAAAAAACAAATAAAGATTGCGGTGTATGGATTGGATTCGGTTTAAGTATTTGACATTTAAATCAGTTTAGATTGGAACGAAATTCAATTTGGTGTGGATTTAGATTGAAAAAACTAAAACCAAATTATTTCGGTTCGGTTTTGGTTGGGACATAATCCAAATCAAATACCGAACTTTCACCCCAAATAGGGGGAAGATGGGAAAGATTCAACCGTTGCCCAGAAATTTCTTTGGATAGAAAATTGAATTATAATTCTCGTTGCTATGATAGATTGATGTAAACATGGGGAAAACGATTTGAATTCCCATAAATAATTAAAGTTTCATGGAAAAGAGGGGAAATTAATTAAATTGATTGATAAAAATTTGGAAAAGAATGAAAATTTAGAGTCAAATTTAGAGAAGAACAAGAAAAAATTAGAGGATTAAAGAGCGAAAAATGAATGAAGACTTTTAAGAGATGAATTGGGACAAGGAAGTGTGAGAAACAAAGTTCAAAGTTGAATGAAGAGCAATAAAAAGACGAGAGAGAAAGTATGAAAGCCATTAAACCCAAAAATACCAGCTAACATTTTGTTGATTGAACCGATTAAAAAAATTAGGCCATTACACTTGTTAGGCTTTTATTTTCACGGACCTATGCGAGGGTACACCTTGCACACCCCTATCTACGGCCCTGAACAATTGTAATTGCCTAATTTTTTAAATCAGTTCAATCAATAAATTGTTAGCCGGTATTTTTGGATTTAATGACTTTAATACTTTCTCTCTCGTCCTTTTATCGCTCTTCATTCAACTTTGAACTTTGTTTCTCACGCTTCCTTATCCCAATTCATCCCTTAAAATTCTATATTCATCTTTCTCTCTGTAATGTTCTAATTTTTCTTGTTCTCTAAATTTGAATCTACATTTTTATTCTTTTCCAAATTTTTATCGATCAATTCAATTAATTTCCTCTCTTTTATATAAAAATTCAATTTTTTATGGGGATCTAAATGGTTTTCCCCATGTTTACATCAATCTATCATAGCAACGAGAATTAGAATTCAATTTTCAATATCCTAAATAAAATTAGTGGATTGAAGAGAGAAAGATGAATTTAGACTTTTAAGGGATGAATTGGGACAAGGAAGCGTGAGAAACAAAGTTCAAAGTTGAATGAAGAACAATAAAAGGACAAGAGAGAAAGTGTTAAAGTCATTAAACCCAAAAATACCGGCTAACAATTTATTGATTGAACTGATCAAAAAAATTGGGCCATTACAGTTGTTAGGCTTTTATTTTCGGGCCCTATGCAAGGGTACACCTTGCACACTTTGTTAGCCGGTATTTTTGGGTTTAATGACTTTATACTTTCTCTCTCGTCCTTTTATTGCTCTTCATTCAACTTTGAACTTTGTTTCTCACGCTTCCTTGTCCCAATTCATCTCTTAAAATTCTAGATTCATCTTTCTCTCTTTATTTCTCTAACAATTTATTGATTGAACTGATTAAAAAAATTGGGCCATTACATGCTGACGGTCCCCATGGCCCCATATTGATGCATGATGCCCAATTTTAGCATAAATTTTGAGCTATATGAATCATCCGTGAGCATGTAGCCTACGTTACATACTTACATACTTTGAAGTGTGATACTGTTATTGCCAACATGCTTTTATTTTTGGCTGGGTCATATCAGGAAATCTAATATTGGCTGTATATGAGATGGAAGTTCCAGGGCTTGGGTATATCTCTATGCTTCATTGCAATGCTATTATTTGACTTAAAAGTTGGAACTTGGCAATCCTTGAGGAAATGTGACCATGTTTGTTTCTGGTTATTATAGCAGTTATCGAACTCGGTATTTCATTTGAAAAGATTTGAAAGGTCCACTGTACTCTTCCGTACAAGCTTTCTGACTGAATGACACAATTATGGCTACAGGTTACTATTTTTTCTGGATTTGTGAGCTATCAAATGGTTCGTGATGCATATGATGGTAATTCTTTACAAATCAACAATCCAGTACCTATGTTTTCTATTGCAAATAGTGACAATTTTGGGATGTTAATGTTGTTGGTGTTTCATCGTGAATATAATTAGAAGACTTTGTCATTGGATAAGCTTCAAGCATTTATAACCACAAACCAAACGTGTATGGTTTTCTTTTTTTTTTTTTTTTTTTTTTTTTTTTGGAAGTGTATGTCTGTGTTTTTTAATTTATATTATTATTATTTTTAATTATTGAAGAGTTTTCTACAGTATGATTCGGATGACAAACCCTTCAGTTTGAAGATATGTTGTCACATCACAAGGAGTTTTCAGAAATTTTAGTGAAATTATGAACTAAGTGAGGATCTGTCGTGTGGAAATATAATTAAGTAATGGAGCATAGAATCATTTGGGTATGTTCGTTTAAGGTTGGCAGGACATAAGACACTTGGTTAACATTGAAAGATGCAATGAAAGTTGGGGTGCTATATCAGGCAATACTCATAGAGGAGGACATAACATTTGATTTAAAAAGAAGCATTAGTGGAACTGATTCAGGATTTTATACTATTCATTAAAAAATACTCATAGAGGAGGATATATTAAATTTGATTTAAAAAGAAGCAAAATAGGAAAGTGGTTTGAAGTTAATCATTTAGGAAATTTATGCATTAGTGGAGATTGAAAGGGATTGTTCTGGAGAGATCTTCATATTATCCAATCCAGCCAGAGTTTGTGTCATATCATCAGTTTGGCACCCAAACTTGTTGCGGAACGCTTTTTAATTATAGATGTAGAGTTGAGGAAGCTGTTCTTGAATCACAACACCTTTTGAATAATTCCGCTTGTGCAATTGATAGCATTATTTTGATTAATGAACAAGAATGTGTTAGACGACTCCAAATTATTTTGGAACTAAGGCTTTGCTGTTGTTGAACGAGAATGTGCTAAGAATGCCAAAATTCTTGAACATGGATTTTTTATAAGCTTATCTGGAAATACTTGAAGTTCAGGCTCTGTTTTCTCAGCTGATATTGGCCGAAATAAACTAACTTGAACTTTACTTGTTTTTGCTGATCCCTTGCTTAATTTGGCTGGCTTATTCGCTAGAACTCATTTTACTAAGTTAGAGCAGATAGAGCCAAAGTTTTGGAAAACATGGTTCACCAGTATGTGCAGTGAAAGGTTATTGTAATAATATTATTTTGAATCTGCGGGGACACCAGCACCCCAAAAAAGCTAAAAGTAATAGACCCTTTGTCCTGTTTATTAGATGGTATATCCGTACTAGTTTTGTGAAAAGCTTTAATTTCAACTCTCTCTCTCTCTCTTTTATTTTTATTTTTTTTTTATTTTTTTGTTTTCTTTGTTTTATAATTTTATTGAACTTAATAGTGCAGTCTGTAGATTCCTAAAATGAGCAATAGTACGTATATGTTATAATGTATAAGTGGGGGTGCCCTTTTCTGATCCTGGTCGTCTGTGTCCTCAAGCAACAATGTCTCAAAAAAGGAATTCTTTTTGACAGAACTCCTTAGTACTGTTAATTATCATGAATACTTCCATGCAGTCTTTTCATACATGATCTTCAACCTTGTATTGGCATTGAGGCTGTATTAATATGCTATTTATGTCACTGTACTTTCTTGGTCAATACCTAAGCAAACTGCACTAAACCTCACATATTTGTGCTTCTAGTCCATAAATGATGAGATCACTTGGATGCATTTGTGATACTAATACATGTCATTAAGCACTCTTAAGTCTAATCATATTGGTCTACTTTGGGACATTGTTGTTTGAGTCAGCCCTTGATTTTGAAAATTGAGTTGCTGATTAGTCTTGATATTTGATTATTGTGGGATCGTGGATGAGAATTCAATGTAACTTCTATGAAGCTGAAAGATTATACTGGCTCGCATTTGTGTGTGTTGCAATTTTGAGAGTTCATGAGCTTTGACTTGCAAAAAGCAGTCCACCTTTTGTCATTGCTATATGCTCGTTATAGATTTTGGAAATCTCTGTTGACATCAGACTAAAGAATATGTGGTTTTTTTTTTTTTTCCCTCTTAGCTTTGCCTTCTCATTGCTCTTCATTTTACACTTCTTCAGCAGGAAGAAATCGTTTTGGGAGTCTGCTTTCTTTCAGTCATTCTTCAGGTAAATTAGACAGAATTTACATGAAAGGTCCAGGCGGACGTGGAGAAGTTGAAGTTGCTGTTTCTGGTGTAGAAGGTACTAGAATGTTTAACTGCTTCAATGGACTAGGTGACATATGTCTTATTTTTGATTTGTAGCTCAATTTTTATATGTGCTTGCATCAGCATCACTGCCTTGTGGTATGCCTTTTTTTTTTTCTTTTTTGTTATATATATATATATATATATATATACACATATATATATATATATAGACATATATGTATATATATATACATATATGTATATATATATACATATATGTATATATATATACATATATGTATATATATATATATATACATATATAGTATATATATATACTATATATGTATATATTATAATTCGTTGGACTTAATTGGCAATAGAGAGTAGAGATGCAAAATTTCCTTGAAATTTTTTAAAATGTTAATGTATAATTGTATATAGGTCCTAATACATGTCTTAGAGATTGTATTTAGCTTCTCATTCCTTTATTTTTATAAGTTACCTTTTTCCTATTTCTTGTTATGCTTGTCTCCATTTGTTTATGAATAATTAAGAAATTATTTGTGTAAATCAGTGTTACAAGGTTCGCGGTACGTAGCCACGAATCGCGAACTGAGTCGCGTGTATCGGAACACGGAACAAACGCGACTTGGGTTGCTGGGGTTCGCGATCTGGATCGCTGAAGGAGGCGACTTTGGTAGCAGCTAAGCGGTTATTCTTCTTGTACAACGTTCAATGGTTTCTTCCCGATATTTCCAATGCATTTTCTCTCTCTTCTGATTTTATTTCTTAGGAGTAGTTTTTTCTCTCTCCTCTCTCCTCTCCTGTTTTACACAGTAGTACATAGGGTGGCGGCTACGGTTCTGTTCCAAATGGGCTTAAGTCTTTGGGCTTTTTATTATACAAATATATATTATGTACTCTATTTTCTTAAGCAATTCACTAACCCACATAAATTCAAGCAAGGACTGATACAACTACGTTTTATATTATTTTCCAAATCAAAATCTTATTAATAAAAATCACCCATGTATTTTATTAATTTATTTTGTACCCAATCGTACCGGATTCATCATGGGTAGCGTACCGCGTATCCGTTTCCGTACCACGTTTCGTATCGAACCACGTACCTTGTAACATTGGTGTAAATTGGGGATGATAAGGGGAAACCTTTAATGGCAGATAATCTGAGTGGGAATAAAGCTTGGGTGTAGCAAAGGAAACCTCTTTCTTTAAAATTTGGTGAAAATGTTATTGTATATTTACTCCCTTCGTGTTTTTTTATTTATTTTTTTTAATTTTTATTTATTTTTTTAATTTGCATCACTTTCCTTTTATAGATGTTTTTTTTTTAAATGCATCACTTCTATATTTAGTAATTTTATACTTTTTATTTTTATTTTTATTTTATTTTTATCATTTCTTTTTCTTACTTTAAACCTCACTAAATAATTTTATCATTTCTCTTATCCATGGTCCCCATTTAAATAACAAATATATATCATTTCTCACGTATTTTCTCTTTCATAGTCCCCATCTTACTTTAACTATAATAATTTATTCACCCACTCTTAATATTATATTACTTTCCTGAAACTTTGTGCATTCCCAAGTATTGCAAATATAAAAAAAACAGAGGGAGTATTTTTTATTGGTATCAGGCCTGTCTGGCCCTTACCCTTACCATGTGCTGCCTGGCAGGGCCCAAAATTTAGGAGGCCCTTGTTTACTTCTTCCTTTAGCGTCAAACGTGTAAACAACTGTCATAATCTTCAATAATTTGGAAAATCACCATTATTCCTTCATCTCTCGTTCCCAAAAATCTCTCTTGCTCAACATTAATTGTTTCCCATTTTTCCACGGATAAACATCCTATATTCCATGTATTTAAATTTGTCCAATTTTGGGTACAATTCATCAATTACTCTCTCTAATTTTCAATCTCTTAATTGATCGACACTTTGGGAATTATTCTGATTTTCTTACTAACAAAAAAAAAAAAAAAAAAGAGAAAAGGTGTTGTTGCTTTGTTAGAATTATTAAATTTGACAGTAGCTCTTCGAGATTAATTCAATAATTTGGTATAAGATAACAAAGACGAATTTCGTGTGTGTCTTAAAGATTGCATGTTTAGCTTCTCACTCTTTATGGATTTGTTTATGGATACTAGTTAAAAAGGCATATATCTCCCTTAATTTAGTATTCGTCTTATATAGGTTTGATTGGGAAGTCTAGGGTTACGTGAACCAATAGTGATTATTCTGTATAGTCATCCACAAAAATCTTCCTCCATTGCTTATGATTAAGGCTTTGATTGACTCCATCTTTCCCTGTGTTTGAAAAAGCACGCCTAAGGCGCAGGGCGATAGGGGGTAAGCGCTTATTTTGGCTTGGGGAGGCGTTTTTAACTAGGCTCACCAGAGGTGCACTAGAGGCGCACCTGAAGCAAATTTCTGATTTTTATTTTAACAGTTTATATATTGCGCCTCACTTCAAAGAGGCGCACTGAGGCACGCCTTAGGCGCTGCATAACCCTTATCGCTTCAGCGCGCCTTGAGCTTTTTTATTCATTGATCTTTCCACATTCTTTATGTTGGTTCAGGGGTGATTAGGGAGTATAACTTTCATTCTTTCTATAGTATTATAGTATACAACTGTACATGTTATACCATCTAATCTAGGGATAACTTTATAGCTGGACAGGCTGATTGGGAAGGCTAAAGTTCCACTTTTGGTGAGAGCTTTTGTGTGGACTTTTAGCATTGGGTAGAAACGGCACTAACGATACTTTCCAAAGGAGAAGAACAGGTCCTTAGGGATGGCTAATTTGTCAAATATTTGCATGCTGTGTCATAGTACCAATGCAATAGATTGGTGAGTCTTGCTCCCCATGTGTTCCTTCACTGTGAGATGGTGAGTAATATTTATATGGTGTATGCAAACTGGGGTCATTAGGTTATCCATCGAGTTGTTTTTGGTCTTCTGCAAGTTTGCATTTGGGCCATGGAAGGGCAAAATAGATGTGGTGCAATGCTTGTATGCTGACTTCACGGTGGCTGTGGATAGAATGGAATGCACACATCCTCTCATGAACTAGTTTAACTGGGCTAAGGCAGTGGGGTTGAGAGAGAGGGAGGGAGGGAGGGAGAGAGAGAGAGGGGGTTTACAGTAAATTGGGATCTTTAAAAGGAACTGGTCTAATTTAATCTGATTTGCTGCTATGAGACAATGCATCAAATCAATTGGGGAAGTCCTAATGTATATCTGTGTGAGATTTTGCACTTGCACAGATACCAATTGACTTCCTTTTGGTTTATTGTTTGTTTGGTACCAACTGACCTTTTTTTTTCTGTACAAAATTGTGGTTCTTTGGTACCGTGTTATCAAAAAAACTTTGCGTGAAATTACCATTTTACCCTGTCGAGTCTATCTTAGATATGAGCTGCGACTTACTCCAAATAAATTACTACCTCCGTGTTATATTGTAAGCAACTTTGGAGGGCTGCATGGGACTCGTAGGAAGAATTTATTTGTTTATTTATATATTTATTTATCTTTGAACTTATATACTCGTATTTCTTTTTGGATCAGTAAATATGGTACTAACTTCCCCAAAAACAGAATACAAGTGTACAACTTTAAGCTTTTTGGGGATTGGGAAAAACTTTCTAGGTATGACTCCCCTGCTTCCTAAAGCTAAACTTAAAAGCCTTATCGAGACACTGTTCACATTTATAATTGATTGAACCATTCATTATCCATTCTTCTAACTTGCTTATTAGAGCTTTTATTTTACATTTTGTATTATCTCTAATCTACTGTTCAATTTTCCTTTTAGTATTAAGCTATTAAGTTTATAATTCTGTAGAAACCATATTCTGTAGACTAGCTGCAAACCATATTCTGTAGACTAGCTGGAAACCAAATTCTGCAGACTAGCCGCTACTGTTTTCAAAGTAATGTTTTTTTTTAAAAAAATTTGATCCTCATCTGTTAGATCTACTGAAAAAGATGACAAAGATCCTATTTGCTATAGTCCACACACACTTCTATCCAAACCATCTCTGCAGTTATACACTAAGAAGAGTAAGAACTATACTGAGAACTCAAAAAGTGTTTATGATTCAGCCCCTGCCCCCCACATGCCAAGCAGCTAGAACCGTTACTAATTCCTATCTTCTGCCATGCTATAAACTAATGTTTTAGGGACTTGTAACTTGTTCTAGATGCTGCTAAGCCCATGGTTCAACCACCTCGTCCCCACAGAGAAATTAATACATAGATTATCCACTCTTAAGATGCCACTGATGTTGCTGAAATCCTTGATGGAACTCATTCTGACTTTGTATATCTTCTAGCTAGCCCCTCGATGTGGGTTGTAACTCTACCAGTCACGCTCCTTCACATACACTTAATGAACCAATATCACACAAAGATTATCCTCTTTGGAAGCTGTCTTTTTTTTTTTTGTTAATACCGAGTGGCTGGATATATAGAGAAAAAATATAATGAGAGAGATAATCAGTGTTACATTAAATTACGGAGTACAAACATTATGTAGAATATAGATTGTAGCTGAACTGGTTAAGTTATCATTCTGAATACAGTAAATTGTATTTCAGATGCATTCTCAAAATTTTGTGCAATTTATTATTGTGCTTGGTGATCGATGAAAAAATTATCTTGTTTAACCAGACCAAAGCCAGCATTCATCAAGGCCTTCTTCACCTGTTGAATCAAAAAGTGGATTTGGTTTTGCTACAATTGTCCGGAGAGCTGCATCTGCTGCTTCTGTTGCTGCTAAACAGGCTTATGCAGCTGCGTCAAATAATTCAGATGATGAGATGTTGCCTCTTAACTGCTCTTTAATGTCTGTATCATTGCCTTGGGAACACATTGCACATGATCTCTTGTTTAAGGTAACAGTTTATGAAATTTATTACTATTGTGCACTTTAGTGCTGCAAGGTTTTTTTTTTTTTTTTTTTTTTTTTTAACTTCAAAATAGACCTGGCAATTGGGTCTTTCAGGTCGGGTCAGGTTTGGGTTGGGTTACTTTCGGGTCGGGTCATTTCGGGTCGGCTAAAATTCAGGTCGGGTATGGGTCAGGTCGATTCGGGTTTCTGGTCGGGAATTGGGTCCAATTCGGATTGGGGCAATTTCGGGTCAAGTATGTTTGGGTCATATTCGGGTCAGGTCAAAATCTGGTTGGGTCATGTTCGGGTTGTTTCATTTGTGAATCAAGCTCAAATCAATAATTTTATACGCTATATATATTTTGTTATTGTTATATCAAACACGACCAATTCAGTTTATGAGCCTATCTACGATTAAAGATGAACAATTTGAGTTAGTTTTGGTACAAGACATTTTAAGTTCAATTATATGGGAATTTTAATTCAGGACATTTCGGGTATCGGGTTTGTTCGGGTCAATTTCGGGTATCAAGTCTGTTTGGGTCAAACAATTCAGGTCAATTTCGGGTCGGGTCAACTGCAGGTCGGGTCAGTTCGGGTGTCTGGTCAACTCCATTTTCGGGTCGGGTAGGGTCAACTTCGGATTTTGGGTTAATGTTTTTGGGTCATGGGTCGGGTCATCGGGTTTGGGTCAGGATTGACAGGTCAGTTCAAAGTGAATGTATTCTAGCTTTGCTGGTCTTTTTACATTAGATATCTTATCAGTATGCTGCCTTTTCTTATACGTTTCCTTGTTCTATTTTCGTCAAAATCAGGGTGGTCCACCAGTGAGCATGTGATCTTTTATCCTGCTGAGCAGAGGGTGCACAATGCATAACTATCAAATACACAATTAGCAGACTATTCCAGATGTTGGATCTTCTGTCCATATTTTTAGATTGGAAACTCCCAGAAGCTGGGTTAATCGTGATATTTGTGGTGTTTTTGTGCTGGATGGTTCTAAATCTTCTAATGCGTCCTCGAGTTTGAGCAAACTGCATCCTACAACTATTGTATATATGTGAAGTTTAGTTCTTTTCTTTTCTTTTGCCTTGGTCTTTTCTTAAGAAATGGGATGAAACTTGCATAGGAATGTCAAATAGCTGATGGAGTTGAATCTGCTCCTGTATTTTGAGGTGCCCTTGTATTTTCGAAGGAGGTACAGAGAGGGAAGCAATATTTTTCTCTTTTGATGTGCATTGCTGCTGCTAGAATAATGTGAAAAACAAAAATAATAGCTATGATTTTTTTTTTCCCCACTAAATGGTTGCAGCTTGGTTTTTTTTTTCTCTGTTTTTGTTTTTGTTGTTGTTGGAAGGTGTTGCAACTGTAGTAGATGTAGATGCTTATTGGCTAGTTGTGGTTGCCTCGGACCTTGGCGCTTGATGGCAATGTCATCTCTAATTCTTTCTTACACAGGAGTGTAGCAGGTGCTGCTCTTTAGTAACTAATAACTAACTTTTCCTAAACCAAACATAGCTTACACATTAATGCACTTAAGCACATCATCACACAAGTCAAAGTTACCCTTGATCATGGTTTTCATCTTTATAGCTCTGCACCCACCCAAATGATCTCTATAAGCGATGCCGATTGGAACGGTCCTGACTGGCATTGTTCTACCTCCAGATGCTATGTCCTCTTGGGTGATAATCTCACTTCTTGGCATACAAAAAGAGTTACCTTGTCGAGTTGCCTCTATTCACAGGGCAATTCTGGCTTATTGTGATGATGTATATGCGCTTACTTATCAAACAAGCCAATTCAACACCAACAAACAAAGCAAATCGCCTGTTTTGTTTGTGAAAAAATTGCTACAGGTCATGTTTGGGTCCCACATATTCGTTCTTCTTATCAGTATTTCATCACTAAGGGTACGGTATACCTCGACAACTTCTTGGACTTCAGATTCAGTCTGAGAGTTTTTCCTTCTCCTGTACAAGGGTATGATAGAGTATAAATGTATATGTTAATTTTATCCGCATAAATTTTGTAAAAAATATTTTTTTGTAATTATATAAACCTAGTTTCTATAATATTAGGCTGTACATACGCAACATACCTATATAACTTTCCAAATCAAGGAGAATGACACACTTCTACACTACTCTATCAGGAAGTTATTGCATTTCAATCGATAACATTTGGACAAAGAATGTCAATTATGGTGGTACTTCAATGGATAACATTCGGACAAACAATGTTAATTATGGTACTTCAATTCAAGGACATTGTCAACATGTGATGACAATATAAAATTCAAAGTGGGAATACAATACACCTAAGGAAATGACCTCCATCTAGTGGTCTATAAGCTGGTAGTAACATGGAGTAGCACAAGCTAACTGCCAAGCATAGTAGTAAAGCAGAAAGCAGTGTTCAACAATAAAACCGTTCGAAAATAACTTTTGTCCTTTGGTTTTAGATAATTTATCTGCCTTTAAGTTTTATATACTAGAACTAGTACATTTGTTACCTTTGTTCTTTCTTTTAAACTTTTAACAAGTGTTGGGCCCGTATTAATATACGACCCAGTATACTTAGGGCACCAATCCAAGATCAAAGAATTCAGCAAAATAGACAAAACGACTTGATTGGAATAAACAAGGAAAGCAGGATCAAGAGTATCAATCAAGAAGATACTTGCCAAGAATACACCTACAGAACAGGGAACAGAATAAATCAAGAAGATCCTCTACATTTCGAATATATTCTGAATATCTATGTAACCCTAGGAATCCCTAGGTATAAATAGGAAGAGTTAGACATTATAACATTCATGTACGCTCGCACACAATTCAATATAAGTTGTTACTCTATTTTTGTCAACGGACCTGTGTCCCTGCTGAACAATGAGGCTTGTCCTTATTCAGTATTGCATCTCTAAACTCATCTCTATGATATTATCGAATACTTATTGCTTACTTATTAGTTATTTAATGCTTTATTATCATTCTTAATTGCTTTATATATTATTGGTGGAACGATTGTTATTACCCCTCATAACCTAGCAGATTCTTAGATGTCCTAGCTGAGATTTGCCTAAACAATTTGGCGCCCACCGTGGGGCTGATAATCAATTAACCTACCAATTCACCAAAAACCGAGACAATCGCCATTACTGGACAACCAGTACCCTTTACCATTGTCGAAATCAATGAAGGAATGAACGCATTCTGCAAACCTTATACCAACAGAAAAGCTAAATCGTCCAAACCGAAGCCAAACTCACTAGCTTAACCAAACAAAATGAAGGCCTCCGTAGCCAAATACAATAAGTTGCATCTAAAACCGTTAACACCAGAAAAAGCACCAAAAGTATAGCCATGCAGCTTGATATGTCTGGAACCTTCCACACCCCTAACGAGGAAAAAGGATCTAACAGTAGGGAAATTCCCCTAGAACTAGATTCTCTGGATGCAGGAACTCTCAAGAAGGATAGACAAGAAGGAATTGAGCATGGAAAAATAGAGAAGGTGGTTAAGGAGTACCTCAAGGCATTTGAGGCCAAGATCGCCAAAATCCCTTGAGTGCCAAAGCCCATGGAAGAAGAGGCAGCGGATGGCTATATAGATAATGGGACTGGTAGAAGTGCCAAAAAGGTTCAGCACGCCCAACATGGCTATGTACGACGGAACAACGGACCCTGATGAGCACGTGTCCCTCTACAAGCAAAAGATGATGACAAGCTCAATCCCTAGAGATATCAGAGAGGCTATCATATGCAAAGGCTTTGGAGCCACATTGTCAGGTCCAGCCCTAACTTGGTTCATTAATTTAGATAATGGGACAATTCGATCTTTTGCAGGAATGGTGAATCTATTCAAGATTCAATTTGCTAGTAGCAGAAAAATCGAAAAGCAATCCTCAGATCTGTACCGTGTTGTGCAAAGGCACGGAGAATCCTTGAGAGACTAACTTAACAGGTTCAACAGGGAGATGATTGGGATACACAAATGCGATGCTCCTACAACAATTGAAGCATTCGGAAGAGGGTTGCTAGACCATAGTGAGCTCTACAAAGAGTTGACCAAATATCCCTGTACGACCTTCGAGGATGTACAAGCCAAAGCTATGGCTCAGATCAGGTTTGAAGAAGATGACTATGCAAGAAAGACCCCAGAGCCATATCGCTAGTCAAGAAGGAACAACAATTTTCCCAGGAGAGACCATCGATTCAAATCGTATCAGCGTTCCCGCTTTGATGAAGGATCAATCAATGCTGTTGAGGAAGAATTCTCAGATTGGAGGGAAGATCCTGAACTCCCACCTAAATTGCATGAGTATTGTTTCAATGTTAACCCTGCAGGAGTAATTAGGACCCTGAACAAGATGGGAGACACCGTGCAGTGGCCTAGTGTAGACACCCATTTGTGTCTCCCCAAAACCAAACCCAGTGATGAGTACCTTTTACGTCGAATCATAATCGAATGAAGCAAAAGTGTGGAAAGTCTAGTGTTGCGGATAGTTTTAATTTCTTTTCTCTTCTCTCTGTTTTTGAAAACTTATTTTAAGAAAACAGTCACTCCAGTTTTGTTGGTCCATGATACGGTTCCAATAATAGTGTATTTGGATGGGGCTTGCAAAGACCTTTCCAACGATATATTATAAGCCCAATTCCGATAAATATTGAGAAAGTTATGGCCAATTTACTAAAATGGGCCCGGTTTGAGCCTTATACGCGGCCCAATGATCTAGAGGAGGGCCTAATATGATTTATCATTCCTAATGCAATTAGGAATGGTTTTAGTCTTCTAGATTCTTCTAGAAAGTTCTTTTCATTCCTAATTCAATTAGCATTGATAAATTGACTTTTGTTGACTTTTCAGAGTTTTAATCAAAATCAAATAGCATTTTCGAGGAAATTATATGATTTTATCCTCCAGTACGGAAAACTTATCTGATTTTCGAAAACGCGTTAAAACCAGGCTTGGCGCCTGACTCCAGGCACTGGCGCCTGGAACCAGGCCTGGCGCCTGGCGCTAGCCATTGGCGCCTGGCGCTAGTGTTGGTGCCTGGCGCCAGTTAGCCAGGGTTTGTGCCAGCTTTGTTTTTTGTGCGTCAGACTCTGTTTTGTTTATTTTATCTTTTTGGCTGATTTTCTCTATAAATAACGTATTAAAAACTCCGTTTTCATTCACCAATTCTCACGAATATTCACCTACAATCAGTTTTCATTCATCATCAATTCTCTCTCATTCTATTCTATAATCATATCTTTCTTTTTTTAAACTTTGTTTTTACACACAAAATTCCGCATTCACAAGATCTAGAAACACCTAGCCATATTCGAAGTTGCCTTCGCCCTAGACGTGAAAGGTTTAATTTCTTAGGGTTTGGTCCCAAATCTCTCTTTCAATTATTTAATTTAATTGTTTGTTTATTATTTTCCTTGAAGTTACTAACGTGTGTATTTTGTTATTAGAAAGAGGTACGAGGCATCAAAGTGTGCTTTAATGGTTTTAATTGATATTATGATGTAGAAATCATGTTTATATTGTTATTATGATATTCCTAGTATCATGTTTAGGGGAAAGATTATAATATCAAATATGCATATTATGTTTCCTGCGATGCTTCCTATGTTCTTCCTAATATTTATGATTGTTAGTATCATGTTAGGGTTAAAGATTTGATTTTTATTGCTTAGTGACATGCTAGGGTTTGTTATTAATCTTATTAGTATCATGCCTAGGATCTTGCTATTTTTATTATGCTTTAATATTAACATGAACATGATTATGATTATAGTTGTTATAATTTATGATTATTATTATTTTGATGATGATTATTTTATTATGATTATAATTTTGTTATCGCTATAATAATTATTATTATGATTAATATGGGTGTTATCATGATGATTATTCTTAATTATATTTGTGATGATTATAATTATTATTTTTTATTATTTATTATGTTGCTTGATTATTTATTCTTTATTGCTTGATCACACTTTTTATGCATGTTTAAAGGGAATTGATACTTGTAATCACGCTTAATAAGATAATTAATAATCTTGTTAGGGTTAATATGATTATAATTCAAGTGATCTCCAATAATAGATTTATTTGTGCATTAATTCAACCAACATAGATAAACATGTTTAGGGTTAAACTTATTGATTGCATGTTAATCAAAAAGCGCACATGAATATGATCAGAATAAAGTAGAGGCCTATTATTAGGGCAGTTTCAATCTCTTTTAGGTTGGATTTGTACCTTCATCCCCGACCCTTATTTGGTTCTAGACCTTATGGAGTTA